CGGAGGCAGAGCAGCCGTCTTCGTTGCCCCAAACACCGCCACCCCTCGGCGGTCCGCAAGTCCCAACTCGCCTGTACAGTGGGGTAAGGCGCTCATTTTGCAGCTCATGGTTTCAAAACAGAGATTGGCTGGAATATTCATGTAAAAAAGATGCCATCTTCTGCTATGCATGTAGACATTTTGGTTCAAGTAAGTCAGATGCCTTCACCACAACTGGCTACAACAACTGGCGCCATGCTCTTATAGGCTACGTGATAAGGGACTGGGAAGGCATGAATCAAGCAAAGAGCACATAGATCCATAGATCTCTTAATGTTGCTCTCAAAGTGCACCAGATTGATGCTTTTAACTTCAATATTTAAAAAAAAAAAATCTTCCTGCATGCCCCCGGACCCCCCTAGAGGAGGTGAGGACCCCCCTAGAGGGTGTTAGGTCCACTCCCCTCTTGTAAAAATAGCACTTTACCACTGCACCCTCTCTAATCTCAGATGCACTGAGTCATTTTGTTCTGGAACTGGGCCTGCATTCAGCTGATGCATGCTGGGTTATATTTGATTCAAAGAAGACATATTATGTTCATTTTCAGGTTCATATTTGTATTGTGTTCCTCTACTGTGACATGTCTCCATGCTTTAAAGGTCCCATGTCATGGCCATTTCCACTGATCATAATTCCATTGTTGAGGTATACTAGAATAGATTTATATTGTGCAATTTTCCAAACTCACATTGGTTTCGCATACAGCATCTCTGTAAAGTATGTGTATTCAGCAGTATTCACTCTCTCCACTAAACGGCTCGTTGCAGCTCTTGCCCCCCTCCCCCTCCCTGTGAGCCTAGTGTGCTCCGATTGGTCGGGACCAGTCGGGACGTTGTGAATCGCGCAGAGCTCCGTGGAGGTGTGATTTCCTTGTTTAGCGATACACAGCGAAACACAGCCAAACTCATCCTGAGCACACACAAAGTCACAGCCGAAGTAAAAACAATAAGTGTGGCTTGATATTGAGTAAGAAAAAGGTTGATAAACGCTGTGAGAATGGGTCTGCAGAGAGAATGGGTCTGCAGAGAGAATGGGTCTGCAGAGTGAATGGGTCTGCAGAGTGAATGGGTCTGCAGAGAGAATTTCGCCGCGATCCCAACTGTCTGTTATCAGCCTGCAGCCAGGAAGGAGAAATCAGCAGAGCTGCCTGCACTGAGTGTGTGAGGAAGTCCGTGGATTGGTCAATTCGGACCAATCAGCGGAGGCTTAACGTAACGGCTCCACGGATTGGTCCATTTCGTTCCGGGTACGGATGACATCATGCGTACCCGGAAGAATCAAATGGACAATGACGTATCTCCAACGAGGCGTTTTGAGGAGGTATTTTCTGTGTTAGAGTTTTACTCGCTACAGGGTGTACTTTGAGGATTTTGACTCTGCACACCGTTTACATGCAGAAAAACCTTCATAACACACAAGGGGACGGGTAATAACCAGAAAAGCATGACATGTCACCTTTAATGTTCAAAAAGCTCTTTATTTGTCTCATACTGCCTGTGCTGCAGCACATCTTTTCACCCTCTGTCTGAAACCAGAGCCCAGTCTGCTCTGATTGGTCAGATGGTCGGCTCTGTTGTGATTGGCCAACCGTTAAGAGCTGTCCCGCCCCTTAGCCTATCATGTACAATGTGTTGGGATTTTAGTCTTTGCGGACCATTTACATGCATAAAAACATACATAACACTCTACAGGAAAGGGAAAACCCCAAAAATTAAAAATAAGGCCTCTTTAAGTTGAAATAAATTCCTTTCAAACACTTTAAGATCACATTCCCAGTCATATTGTGCATCTATTTAAAGAGTTATGGCAAAAAAACGATTTCTTCATTTTTTTACATCAACAGCAAATCCTTTTTCTTCCAATAAAACAAAATAAGGTATTTGCTTGGCTATATCAGACCTTTTAAGAACTCCTGTAATAACCTATATTATTTATTTGTGCCTTAAGATATGGTTTAAAAAAAGAAGAAGATTGGCTTCAAATGCTAAAATGTTCTCTTTTAATCTTACCGTGATCTAATTCGTTAAACCACTGGTGGGATATTTTTACCTCTTGTTTGACTGAAGTTGATTTTTATCTGGTTGCAACTTTCCGCAGTGGAACTTTTTCACCTGCCTCTGAAATAGACCTGAAACAAAGCTTCCTTTGTTGAGTGGAGTTGCTCAACTGGTTGAGCAACATCACACAGTCATCCAGTGACCTCCTGTATACCCATGTGGTTTTGAAACCGATGACTTCTGTCTCATGACACACTGCATCTTAACCTATGCTCTGACTGACTGAGTGCTGTCTGTAGTGATTAGGATATCCTCAAGGTTTTACATCTGTAGATACACGGCATATGGTGCGTGACAACTTCGATATCCTGTTTCTCAGATGTGACCTCTATTTTCTTTTGCATTTCATGGCCCTATGACTAATATAAAGCAGGATCATGTTGTTTCTTATGAACAGAGCATTTCAAATAAGGAAATTATGACTACTCTGTCAGATTTTGCCGATAGCCCATTCGGCATAAACAGTAAATAACCACCTTTATACAAACACTTTGTTACATAAAGCACAAAAGATTTCCAGGGGAATACTTCATTTTGTGTGTTCACCTGCCCCAGTGTTTGTGCGTCAAAAGAGGATGTGATAGAGAAGTTGGGTCTTAACACTTCTCCCTGAATGTTGTGACCTTTAACGGTTTGATACTTTATGTGTTCCAACTTCCCTTTCGGTGCTTTCTTGTGTCTGTTATGAATGCAAGTTTAAAACGTTCTGTTTCATTTTGAAGAATTTCTGTGGGGGACGTCTGAGTGCTTAGCTGATAATTGAGTGGACGGTGAAACAAAAGCTGAATGAATTGTAGAATGTGCTTGAAACACACTCAAAAGCATCAATGGCTGACTGATGTAAGATGCTGCGTAGGTGGGAGCGACAACCTTCCTCCCTGCGGTCCTAGCTGTTAACCCTTCAAACCTCACAGAGCCGCATTGCAATCTCATGTCGTGCAACCAGACAGTTTAAACCCACAGAACTTTATTTTAGATTCTAGTGGTAACCTCAAAGGCCCCCAAGACAAATGTGCAATGCTGAATTTTGGGCAAATTAGCAAGACATAATGTACATTTCATCTTAAAGAGGACATAATTATGCTTATTTTCAGGTTCATTTTTGTATTTTGTGTCTCTCCTGGGACATGTCTCCATGCTTTAATGTTCAAAAAGCTCTTTATTTTTCTCATGCTGCCTGTGCTGCAGCACCTCTTTTCACCCTCTGTCTGAAACCAGAGCCCAGTCTGCGCTGATTGGTCAGATGGTCGGCTCTTTTGTGATTGGTCAACCGTTAAGAGCTGTCCCACCCCTTAGCCTATCACATACAATGTGTTGGAGCGCTAGCCAATAGAAGCGTAAGTGTTACGTAGTGATGTCACTATGTTACGGAGTTAAACAAAGGAGTCCAATGGAGGTGTTTCAGGCAGGGGGGGAGTGTGGGAGAGAAACTCCCTCTGGAGGGAACACAGGGATTTTAGCCTTTGCAGACCATTTACATGCACAAAAACCTATAGAACACACTACAGGAAAGGGAAACCCCCAAAAATTAATAGGGCCCCTTTAAATATTTCAATTTGACTGAATGCTGATTTGAAGAACTTGTTTTAAGATTAGGAGCAGAGATAAGATAATTCAAAAATAAAGTTGGAAAGTGTCACATATTGTGAAATAAGAGGTTCTTTTCCGACCCTAATGCCCTTTAAGCCCCTGTCACACTGTCCCGAAATTGACACCCGATGGACACACGATAAAGGAAATGTTCAAATTTGGCTCTGATCGTAACAACATCGCGCCATTCGTGAGGGCATCTAAGCCATCGTATGACCGTCGGTGGAGTTTCTCAGGCTCCGGCAGCAACTTCGTGAGCGGCAACTTCGTAAGGCACTCGTGAGGGCATCTTGTCGAATCGTGTCATCTTCGTGTTATCATCGGTGCCATCGGGCATTCGCCCTCACTCTGATCGGGGCGAATGCCCGATGGCACCGATGATAACAACATGCCCTCACGATGGCATTACGAAGGGCAAAATTGACACATGAATTCAACACGAAAATGAACCTTCACAAGGTCTTTCGGCAATATTTTGGCATGCTAAAGATTTTCCCACCGCTCACGAAGTTGCTGCCGGAGCCTGAGAAACAACACTGGCGATCATACGAAGGCTTGATGCCCTCACGAATGGCCCGATGTTGCTACGATCAGAGCCGAATTTGAACATTTCCTTTATCGTGTGTCCATCGGGTTGTTTTATTGCACAACAAAATCATGTAAACATATTATGTAAATAAACCAATTTGTGTTCTGTGAAACTAAAAAGGATATAATATATTATTTTGAAGGAGAGTTGACAGGAAGTTGTTGTTGTTATGGAAACAACATTACGGAGAAAACGTAATATTTTCTACATATAACGACGGATAAAGTAAAGAACAAAGTCTGAAGATATCAGTACAGTATCATAGTACTGTAACATAATTGTTTTTGGTACTTTCATTGCAGTTGTATGTCTTAAATGTAATGTAAATGTTGCCTTCGTGTGTGGTTCGGGGCCATCTTCGTGCGAAATTCACAATTCCATATTCGTGTGTCCATCGGGTGTCAACTTCGGGACAGTGTGACAGGGGCTTAAAGGGGAAAAAAAGGACTGTTTTATTAAGGGTCAAAAGAAGGTCTCGACTTTTTTGTCAAAACAAAAAAGAATATTTCTTAAAATGTCAAACTATTCCTTTAAGTATAGTTGGCACTAGTAAAGTAAGCTACGAGTCATAAGAAACAGTTACTAATCTAACTATGAGTAAGTATACGACAGAACGAAGAAACACTACATTGATGACTACGTTTGTGGATTCTTATGCTCTATACAAACATGGCCTTGTCTGTAGATCTGACAGAAGCTGATTTTAGTCATTGTGACACTTGACATTAGAAAGCAAATATAGATAATTTATTCAATATGTACAAATCCACCTCAATGTTCACATTTACATAACTTTCGCATAAACTTTGCACAACATGTAGCTTATATCAAATGATGGTAATTGTAACATCTCAGTTTTTTCAGTGTGATGTCAGAATGCAAAACTTTTAAATGCAAAGCCCTGCATAGAGATCCACATGTAGATAGCATATATGCATCTATTGCTTTAGTGAGAAACAATAAACTGAAGATGGTGTGCAAATGTAGCTTGTGCATGATGGGTGGGAAGGGTGTTTGCAACACATACACTTCCGCAGAAAAGTCCCTACCCTTTTCACAACATAGGCGCGGCATCTCTTGTAAGTCCTGTGTTTTACAATAACTGTAGCCATCCTTTCCCATTATACCAGCTAGTAGTATTTAAACACTCCTATGTTTTTTTAAGGCTTTTCCTCTACACAGTCATCTTGGGTCATGGCTGACCCCAGTCTGTTATTCCAACTCAAAAATAAGGCATGAATGAGTGTAAAAAAACAAGTTTTCAAAGTTGTTTTGGTGTTTCACCAGTGTTCCCAGACAAGCAATAACCCCACAGCTTTTCTCAGGTAGTCCAGCATTGAGCTTAGCTTCAGAGTGCAGATTCTGTTGACGCAATGTTTCTGGTGTCTTTACATCTGCACCGATTCTGATGTAGATTCCAATAGATCCTTATAGAGGTCCGACCTGAGGAAACGTGGGTACGAGTCCTTCTCCATCAGCCCGTAGACAATCCTTCGGGCATCGTCAAAGCACAACGAGTCGGGCGTCTTCATGTTCCGCCTGATCAGCTCTCTGGTGTTGTGATCAATGTTGATCTAGAAGCGTAGAGTAAAGTAATGAGGATGATTAGAACAAAGAAGTAGAAAGGGTGTGTGAAAAGAACTGTAAATCAGTCTGCCTAATAAACTCTTCTCTGCTTACCTCTCTCGGAGCCTCGGCTTGAATGTAGCGTTTGAAGATCTTTTTGGCCCTAGAGGACATCCTGAAGGAAGACTTCATCTTCTTATAGTCTTCACAAACAAGCCAAAACTCAATGTTTTCATCACTGAATTCTGACTTCAAGTAGGCCTGGAATATCTTCATGCCATCTAAACAGATTAAAATATAACCAGTTAGCCAAGGTTGAGGAGGAATACTGACGATAAGGCTTGAATATGGGCTTAATAGCCTATTACTGAACTTACATTTGGATGATAAAAGCCTCTCAAGTGATTCTGACCACTGGGACATCTCCTCGTAACAAAGCCTTTAAAAAAAGATGCACTGTCACTCAAATGTACTACAATAATTTCAACAGAGATGTTAGTTTCAAGTTTTCTTTGCTTACCCCTCATTGTTAGCATCTTGAGATGATCTGCACTGCAGCCGAGACTTCAGGTTTCCTCCCCTGATGATCAAACACAAGGTTTATTTAGTGAAGCTCAATCGAAAAAGAGACAAAAGGAGATGATACATCGATTAGTTATGATAAAATATTTACCTCTTCTTGTTATCAAGGTCCATGTTAAGGTTCTGTAGCTCCCTTTGTGGTGATACGTCAATACTCGGCATGGCACCAATGCTTTGTGCGTGGGGTGTGTGTGTGTTGGGCTGCTCTTAGAGAGTTGTGTGACTGCTGCTGTGTCTGTTTGATATATCTGCTCAACTATATATGTAGAGCAGAAGTGTTGGTGAGTAGCGTCACACTATCATGCTGAGCCAACCACAGAAAAAGAGGAAGTTGGGGATGACGCAAACATGTGCGCAGACTGCAACTACTGTCTTGTTTGAAACATGTTTGTTTCAAAGTCCAGATGCAAATAGGGCAGTGGAAAATTCAGCAGCAGATAGGCAAATAATTTAGTCTTTAATCCACCCTGCCTGAAAACCAATGCAGCGTAGATGTGGATAGACGTCAGTGTCTGTATTCTAAATATGAAGCAACAGCCAGTAGGCGATTAGCGTAGCTTAGCATAAAGACGAGACGCAGGGGAAAACAGTTAGCTTGCTTCTGTCGAAATGTATCAAACGGTTTCTACTAATATCTACTCTTATGTAATCTAACTTCTAATACAAAAGCCAAAAGGGCCCAAATAAATACAATTAATGTTGATTGGCTAACTAGGTCACTAAGAACTTTTGAAACAACATCCATAACATTCATCTGGCTGCAACTTACAAATTATTTATCTAATATATCATATTCCAATTACTGTATAGACTCTTATTGCACTATTTTACTATTTTATTTTTTGTATTTACTTGCACTGTTTTTTCTGTTGTTCTGTTTTATTGTGTTGCACTGTTGGATTTTCATCGTCATAACTACCCTGTAGCTATGTACGTATGACTAATAAAAGCCTTGAACCTTGAAGTGACAGTTAGCATATGTCAAACATTTTTTAACTATACAATTAACTAGTTTGACAGATGTTGTTTTATGCTTTACATATTTTAGCCAGTAGTCAGGTTTCTGACCAAATGTAACAAACATTTTAACTACATTTAAATACAAACTCATTAAAATGTGAATGAACACTTGTTTCTATCGAATATCGGTAAGCGAACTATGCGTTGTTCACTGAGGTAAGCAGTAGGTAGCACCATTGTCCAGTTGGAAATCATTGCATAACAAGAGGGTGCAGCAATAATCAGACCTTGAATAGTGAAAAGTAATGTAAAAAAAACTATAGATCGTGCAAATGTTTTTATAGATTTAAAGATGTATTTTTCCTTTGTTCAGGTTTCTTTAAGTGCGAATTGAAAATCTGCCAAAAAAAGAGTTGTATAAAGAAAGTATCTAATGACTTAAAAGTTATTTTCGCTTTTGCCATGTTTTTATGATTAAGAATTTACCATACAGTAACCATGTTTAGCAAAAGATAAATACTCACAATTTGAAGTAACATTATGGTGATTTTAAGTTAGACTGCTATTTGGTAGTATGTAGGCATATAGGGGGGCAATTAGGCCCAGTGTTTTCATAGACAGAAGTAATACCATCTTTATGTCGCATAGGAAAGAGCTTAAACAGCTGGCTCAAAATCAGAAAAAAAATTAACATCTAACATCTAGGTCTGGTTCTAACCAGTTTGTCAAGATCATTCGGTCACCACCTACCAGGATTCTTAATCAATGGTGTGAACTGTGTAACTGAAAGCTGTTGTATTCACTTCCTGTTATGTTGACAGGAATCTGCCCAAAACAAAGGCTTTCACCTGTTATCTGTACATTCCCCTGGAATTTTGAGTGAGTTTTTAAAAGAGAACATCATCAGTCCTTTGTTTTTCTTAGATTTGTAAATGTCTAATGTAGACTTCCTTGTATGTATGCTGTAGTAAAGTACCCATGATGTAAGCAATATAACACTGAATGTCGTAGGAGGACATTGTTGCTGTTTTTTATGACTAAACATTTTAAAATTGTACTTATTTTTATTTACGGTAGTGAACTGAACTGAGCCTAACTAATACATGAAATACATACAGTTCAGAACATGTGAAATTACGATTTTTCCAACCTTAGGGCTATACTGTATTTTAAGGGTTAAAGCAGGGGGGTCAAACTCAAATACACAGTGGGCCAAAATAAAAAAAATGGGTACTAGTCGAGGGCCGGACTGGTTCAATGTTTATTGCAAAACTTATTGAAATTAACTTATTAAACCTGGAACTAACAAAGCTTAAATTATTGCCTATGAAAACAACATTAAACATTAAATAATCAGTTGCATTCATTTCTTATGGTTCTATCTGCAGCTTTTCCAGTCATTTTTTATGAGTACATTTTTCCACAGGCACAGCTTCCACAATTTCCCTCAAAGAAAAAAACAAACATGCCCTGTTGTCGCAAGAGAAAAAGTGCAAAAAGGACATTTAAACTCAGTGTGCTGCTCTGTGATGCTAGTTCAAGCCAGTTACTTGGCATCTCGTCTTGGGTGCAAGTTCATCAATGTTTAGGGTCAGGCTCTGAGCTGAGGAGACCCTCAGGATGGAGTGAAGGTGTGCGTGCAATATACCGGTGGGCCAGACCTAATAGTAATTAGAAATTATCCTGCGGGCCGAAATTAAATCCACCAAGGGCCTGATTTGGCCCCCGGGCCTTGAGTTTGACACATGTGGGTTAAAGGAATGATTCAACATTTTTTGAAAACTATTAACCACATTTCCCAAACCATTCCTTTTAGTAAAGTTGGTAATTATAAACATAACTCAGATTCAATAGTTTCAGATAATTGAACATCTGTTCAGTATTGCAGAGCAAGAGGTAATATTCTGGTAAACTCTGCTGCTGCAGAGATTTCTGATTAGATTTTCTACTCTGGGCACCAATACTGCATGTGAAATGCCATGGCAACAATCCATTAGTGGTTGAGATAATTCAGTCTGGAGCAAAGCAATGGGCTGACCAACAACTTTTTAGTTACGGTTCCTTCAGATAATTGTATTTCTACAGGATAACCAGCAATGTGTCTTTCTATTACCACTCTTACATTCACTTTATCCTGATTTGTTTCACCTACCTCCATTTTATTTCAATGTCATTCCCCGTATGTGCTTCAGCCGGCCATTTTGTTGCAATGTTTTGCTACCTGCACTTACAGCTGCTTTGCTACTACTCTAAATCATAATGTAACTTTGATAACAATGGACAATATATCGATATATTCACAGTGCAGAATATCAAGCCTGGATACAAGCTGATTTTTATACTGTTGTGACACAATTTAACCATGACAACACACGTCAATATGTAGGGGAAGTCTTCTGCTAGAAAGGTAGAGAACACTCAATTGGGAGTTAATGCATGCAAAAAATGTTAACATCTGAATCAACCCATGCTCGTAAACATAAGAAGTTTAAATATGCCATAACTCATTTGCCTAACATTTTCAAGATTGATAAATGAGGTGGCATCAAATACATGATAATAAGTCTTAACCTAAGAAAAGGTTTTTAAGCAAACTTAATAAGTTGCTTTTGAGTCACAAGTCGGAATTGTTTTATCACTTTATCTATTTTCATGTGACTATGCTTTACCCAAGCTGGATGTTAAAACGCTCGCTGTGGTGACATGAACTCTTATCTGAAGACAATTTCGTTATCGGTTTCTGCACCCGTCTGTGAGTTTCCTCCGTCAGTCAGACAATTATATCTATGGCTCAGTTTTTGATAACTCTTTCACTTCCCTTCAAGCAACGTCTACTTTTGCTGGGCCTGAGAATAAGTAGGCCAAATTCAGTCTTTTTCACAGTACCCTATGTGTTGTGGAAATATTTTCCAAGGCCCATAACTTTGACCCAGTTTATCAGTTCAAACTGTCCTGACTGAGCACACGCACCTCGTAACCTTGGCTGCTGTGCTCTCAGTGTTATGATTCTATGTTCCTGCCTGTTGACGTCAGCTGATAGAGGTGTTATCATTCTATCTTGTTATGCAGCATGTTGATGATGCTCTCAGAACTAGCTAAATACATGGGTCTGAGGTAGAGTTCTTTAGAATTGACGTGGCAACCCACCCGTGCAGTCTCACTGGGACTGCTGTGATTTGTGATGTGAACCCTCCGGCCGAAACTCCAAATAAACCATCAGTGTTTGACATCAAAGCTCCTGCTCTTCCCGTGTCTCCTTCCTGAGTCGGTGACTCCCACTGCATTGCTACACAGAAGTTTCCCTTACACTATGAACTTCACCCTTCCACACACAGTCGTTGAAGAGGAAGTTGTGGTGAGCAGCCTGTGTTGCCCTAAAATAATTCCCCCCTGTACATTCAATGCCACCAACAGAAGCAGAACAACATGTTCGTCTATCACCCACCGTCACATGGAGAAACCACTCCATGTCTACTTCCACTTTCCAAACACAAAAATCAGACAACAAACAAATGTTAAGGCCGCACAGGCGAAAGAGAACAATGTAGCGTTTTATTTTTCCATATTGTTGAAGGTCATTCTTACATGCTGAATTCACTCTCTTTGTGGATGTGAACATTATGTCCAAATGTGTTTTGTTGTGCTCCTTTGTATTTGCATGCGTTTTACATACAGTAGGCGATGACACAAGTTTGTATAATCCGCCATGCCCTGGTCATGACAAGGCAAAAAACAAACAGATAAAGCAATGACTACTGTCTAACACTATGAAGAACTACATAGATACAATATAAACTGTGCTTCTTTGATGGTAGATTTAAATAAGGGAGAATAAGCTTAGTTAAAGAGGATTTTCCCATTACATCAGATTATTTGAACCCTCCTTGTACTTTTTCATGATGCATAAACGCCTCGGTCTTTGGCTAATTTAAATGAAGACGTTCATGCGGTTCCTCCACACAATGTACAAAATGCAGCAGAGATGTAAACCACACAAAGACAGAACGGAAGTGTGAGGCAGTTTTTCCCTTTTTCATTTTCAGTTGCTTCTTCTTGTTTTCAGAATGATGCAGCATGAAGGACTTTGTTGCCACCTGGTGTTTTATTTTACAACCAATGACCGTATTATAGTATACAGATGGGTTAGGGTTAGACGACAACAAAAGTGATTTGGATCGCATTCAAGAGGGCCACACTCAAATGTCATTCAACTGATTTATGTTTAGTTAGATATACCACAAATCAGGCAAGAAAAGCTGAAACAGAAGCATAGCAA